GAGAGAGGCCTTCCATCCGTTGGTTCACTCCCCAAATGGCTACAACAGCCAGAGCTGGGCTGATGCAAAATCAGGAGCTAGGAGCCTCTTCTGGGTCTCCCATGTGAGTGCAAGGGGCTCAAAGACTTGGGCCATCTTCTGCTTTCCCAGGCCATAGCAGAGAGCTGGATTGGAAGTGGAGCTAGAACTGGCGCCCATATGGGATGCTGGCACTTCAGGGTAGGGCCTTAACCTGCTGTGCCACAGCACCGTCCTGAATAATATTCTTTTAAAAGGGTTATTTATTTGAAAGGCAAAGCTGCAGAGAGAGGGAAAGATAGACATTTTCTTTATTTTTTTAAGAAATGTTTGCATCCCTCATCAGGGCCACTTTTCTTTCTTTTGATTTATTTGACAGTTACAGAGAAGCAGAGAGGGAGAGGGGAGGGGTGGAGAAAGGTCTTCTGGCTGCTGGTTCACTCCTCAAATGGCCTCAATGGTCAGAACTGGGCATATCTGAAGCCAGGAGCCAAGATGTTCTTCTGGTTCTTACACACGGGTGCAGGGGTAGAAGTACCTGGGCCATTTTTCTACTGCTTTCCCAGGCCACAGCAGAAAGCCGGATTGGAAGTGGGGTAGCCAGGGTACAAACTGGCACCATGGGCACTTGCACTGCAGGTGGTGGCTTTACCCACTACCCCACAGCACTGGACCCCAGAGAGACATTTTATACCCTCTGGTTTATACCCCAAATGGTCACAAGAGCTCGAGCTGGGCCACTCTGAAACCAGGAGCCTGTAACTGCATCCTGATCTTTACCATAGGTAGCAAGGTCCCAAGGACTTGGCTCATCTGCTGCTCTCCCAGGCACATTAGCAGGGAGCAGCTGGGACTTGAACTGATACTTGTATGGGATGCCAGCCCTGCAGGTGGTAGCTTTACCTGAAATGCCATAATGTTGTCTCCAGGAATAGTTTGTTTTGCACTCTCATGTCTCAGTGGATTTAGTGAGCTTTCTGGACTCCGTTGATCAGTTCCTGTCTGTGACCCTTCAGGGGGTTATGATGATGTCAGTTGAGACTACTGGTGTTGGGCTCACTCAGAAGACTGGTAGTTGACACTGTCTGTTAATGGGACACTAAGATTATAATGTGTTCTGCTTTCTTGTATTTGTTTAATTTTTCTTTTTGCAGATCTTGGAATCACTTATTTTTAATTTTATTTAAGTTATACAAGTTTCATGTATTTCATATTACAGATTTAGGAACACAGTGATACTTGCTACCCTATCCTCCCTCCCACCCATGCTCTAACCCTTCTTCCTATTCCATTCCCACTCTTAATTTTTTAGCTTTATTTAATTAATACAAATTTCATAGGTACAGCTTTAGGAATATAGTGGTTCTTCCCCCCCAGAGCCACCCTCCCACCCCAACTCCCGTCCCACCTCATACTCCTCCCATCCCATTCTTCATTAGGATTCATTTTTAATTATTTTTATACAAAATACCAAGTCTATACTAAGTAAAGATTTCAACAGTTTGCACCCATACAGACACAAAGCACCCACACAGACACAAAACGTATAAAGTACTGTTGAAGACAATTTGCAGCAGTGGGGTGGCTGGATCATAGGGTAGGTCTATAGAGGTATCTCCATACTGTCTTCCACAGTGGCTGCCCCTGTTTACATTCCCACCAACAGTGGACCAGAGTACCTTTTTCACCACACACTCACCAGCCTCTGTTATTTGTTGATTTCTGTGTGAGTGCCATTCTATGTGGAGTGACATGAAACCTCATTGTGGTTTTGATTTTCATTTCCCTAATGATTAGTGATCCTAAGTATTTTTTCAAGTGTTTGTTGGCCATTTTATTATTATTATTTAAAAGGCAGAGTGACAGAGAAAGAGGGGGAGACAAAGAGACATAGTGGGAAAAGAGATCTTTCTCTGGTTCACTAACAGAATGGCTGTAATCCCTGATGGAGTCAGGAGCCTGGAACTCCATCCAAGTTTATAATGTGAGTGGTAGCACTTAAGTATTTGGACCATGTTCATCTCATTTTCCAGGTGCACCTTACTGGTCAAGAATATATTATGGGGCCAACTAGAGTTCAGAAGATTTTGGGGGCAGGCGCTGTGATGTACAGGTATAGCTGCCACCTGGAGTACCAGCATCCCATATGGGCACAGGTTTGAGTCCTGGCTGCTCCACTTCTGATCCAGCCCTCTGCTATGGCCTGGGAAGGCAGCAGAAGATGGCCAAAGTGCTTGAGCCTCTGCCCCAGCGTGGGAGACCTGGAGGAATCTCCTGGTTCTTGGCTTCAGATCAGCGCAGCTCCTGCCATTGCAGCCATCTGGGGAGTGAACCAGTGGATAGGGGACCCCCCCCCTTCACTCTTTGTCTGCCTTTCAAAAAAATAAAGACTTTTACAAATGATATTACAGAATGCTGGGTGAATGTGCAGAGGGTGTAACATCTTTTATATTGGAAAACGTTGTTTTCCAGTTTTGGAATTGTTGCCAAGAAGAAGTAAAATATGCCAAATACATGATTTCCTGGTGTGTATTACCCCTAGGGTAGACATATGCTGTCAATGTAGCCAAACACAGACAGCTGCCCTCTGTCGCTCCCCCTCTTCGTGGAGGAACGACACAAAACCCTGCCTAGGCTTCATATCCGAGTCACGGCACCATTATGTCGCTCCTCGTCTTCGTGGAGGAACGACACAGGACCCTGCGCTGTTCTTTCGTCTGCTCGGCCCTCCCCGGGTTTGCTGCTGGTTCTTCCCGGGTTGGCTACTGTCCCTTCCACCTCCGTGAAAGGGCAGTTCCCCCTGGCCACATTCCCCACTTCCGCAGGGGAGCGGCACTCCGCCTGCCGGCTCTCTCGGGGGCTGCACAGATGTTCCCCTTAGATGTTCCCCGGTGTATGCCGTCTCTCTCCTCCTTTATAGTCCTCCTCTGCCAATCCTAACTCGGCTGCCCACACGCCGAGTACGCTGCTCTCCTCCATCAGGAGCAAGTCCTACAGTTTATTGGCTGAACTGGAGGCAGCTGTGCAGAAGCTGTTTTTCTTCTCTCCCAGCGCCATATGTGGGAGAGCAGATGCATAGAATAAGTCTAATTCCAGTAACAGTCTAGTCTGGGTTGCTCCCCACACCCTCAGCTGGAAAGAAGCTGCTAAGTTGTCATTTCTGGCAGTGACTTCAGCAGTTGTAAGGTCACTGAGCTTTCACAGGCAGCAGTGCCTGCACTGGTACGATAGTGACACCAAAAGCCTGCATCAGTGACAGTGGGAGCCTTCGGTAAGCAAATCGGAAAAGATCAAGATCTGTGGACAAGTTGTAGTTTAGAATCTCTGCCACACAGAGGACTCTATTTGTGTCTTGCTCCTGGTTGTGGTTCACTATCTTCTTCAGGGGTTCTTTTGTATGCTGCCTATGATCCTTCAATGGACTTTTCAAAAATTTCTTGAATCAAGGTTTAATTCTCATTTTTTATGTCTTAGAATTCTAATTCACACAAAATAAATTATTTTAATGTTGTTTTATGAGGCAATAAATCTTGGTCTAATGCTAAACTATATACCGTGATCATATCAGGAAATCTGTAGTCAGAAACAAATAATTGCATCATTCTAACATTTTGGATATTGGTATTATTATATTATTCTCAAACATATGATATTTCAGCTTTACTGCTGCTTTTTGTTGAGGCTTTGAAAATAAATACCACATTCCATAAATGTTTATTGTAGTATATGCATGGCTTAGCCCTTAGAGTGCTTATATTCCACTACAGAGATAAATTTGAAAAACAAAGATAAGATATGCAATATATGTATATAACTTAATTTCAACCTTTTCTCATTTTGCCTTCAAAATCTTTTTGGTTAAAATATTTTGAAAGAAGTCAGAAAATATTCTAGGGAGTGCAACTGCTGAGTAAGGCTTTCAAAAGGCTGAGTCATCTCACCTGAGCTGCCAGGAGTCAGAAAGCAGAATATTCATGATAGTCGTGATTCCAGGAGCAAGAAGTGAAGGCAACTCCTCATAAACAGCATTACCAAAAGCAGTGGGTTAAAATAAGTGAAGTAAAGGAATTGCTCCAGAAAAAACTAACCCATCAAATTTTCTCAGACTATCAAAGGTGTTAAAATAAGTATCACATAGCAGAGTACTGGTAGCAATGCCACATTGCAATGTTAACTCTTGTACAGATATTTAAAGGAAGATTACCAAAAACATGAAAAAAAAAATCTGAAAGCACAGCTAAATGAAAAACCAGAAGGGGAAAAGCTGTTATCATATGATCCCCTAAAACAGACATCAGACCGGCAGTGAATCTTCATCGTGTTTGATATAATTGTAGAGCAGTGAATTTTTCTCTCCTTACACTCTACTCTCTACATTGCTCATGTCTCAGTTAATTGGCTCGATTCTCTGTACAGAATACTTTATATCAGAGGAATGTGTGTGTGTGTGCGTGTACAAGTGCATTCTGAAGAGGAAAGGAGACCATAAATAGTTGAGAACAAAGTACTATCTAAATCAAAATGCAAATGTCACTCCTGTCTCTCCCTTTGTATTTTCAGCAGCAGAGTTGTTTGCCAAAGAGTGACTATCAAGGCCTTGACTAATGTTCTAAGGAGGGCACAATGTTCCACTCCCAAAACAATGTAACCCAGTGGTTTTCAGCAAGGAAACTGCTAAATTTCCCAAAGGAATTCCTTACTGTTAGTAAGACTTCTGAAAATTAACTAGTGAGAATAAATGCCACGAAATCTAACATTAGTATTCTGAACTGAATTTGCTTATGCCAGACCTCTAAACAATAAACTGTGTTCTGCTGTGTTGCTATGCCCGTTCATGAGGCAAGCCATTTTAAAGTAAAGCATCTTGGAGATTCCAAAAGAGCAGAATGGGGAAGGGGTGTACTGCTTTAGGCTAGGGGAAAACAGCAAAAAAAAAAAAAAGTGGATGAAGTATATTCTTAGGGGAGACTTGGAGCAGCAAACTACAGGAAGTGCTGAGGAAGGAAGAAGGACACCGTGGATCATGGTGGAAGGCCCACGTGGACGCAAAGCAGCAAGCACAGACACAGCACATGACCCCAGGAGCTGCATCAGCTTTGGAGAGTGAGTGAGATCAGAGTGCAGAAACCTGTGACACTGGTGATCTAGCTGGAGGGAGAGCCTGGTCGACTGCGCTGTCTGTGAATGCGGCCTAGAGTCCTGAGTGCGACAGGGCACCCACTTACCCAGTGGGACAAAGGGGCACATTTCCCTCTCCCCGTTTCCCCACAAACAGGTGGCTGAGAGATGGCAGGTGGAATTATGGATGTAAGAAGCAGCTGAGCAGGTCTCGGGCATGTGCCCAGCAGCTGGCAGTTCAGCTGGAGGATGTTGGGGAGAAGGTGCCATTGTGAAACAAGGAGGGGCTGTGGCGAGTGACTCCTGGTGCACGTGTGGGATCCAGGGATATTGCCAGAGAGCAAAGTCCCTGTTCCCCACTGACCTTGAGTCTGGCTGGGAGGATTGATGGGGGCTGTGTGCCCAGGTAAAACTGTGAGGTACTCCCAGGCACTCAACATATCAGAGGCTCAGGGGCTCAAAACCCAAGGTGGAGCAGCCACAGAGAGCTGGTTCTGGGAACATGGCTCTCTCTCCATGGATGGGTGGAGCAGATCTTCTGCACGCCATGGCTCAGAGAGGTTCCCCCAGGTATCCCAGTTGGATTCCAGAGGCCCAAAGACATGGGCCATCTTCTCTGCTTTCCCACGTGGGAGATGTGAATGAAGCTCCTGGTTGCTGAGTTCAGTCTAGCTCAACCATGGCATCCAGGATTCTCCTGGTAAACTTCTCTTTGGGGGAGGGTGTGTGGCACAGGGATGACACCACCTGTTGGGATGCTCCCATCCCATAACAGAGGGCCTGAGTTCAAGTCCCAGCTCTCCTTGCAGTTCCAGTTTCCTGTAATACCCACCCTGGGAGACAACAGGTAGTGGCTCAAGTTGTTGGGTCCTTGCCACTCACATGGACCCAGGTTGAATGCCTGGGTCCTGGCTTCTGCCTGGCCCAGCCATGGATGTTGTGTATACTTGGAGGGCTAAACAAGGATGGACGTTCTCCCCATCTGGCCCTTTCTCTTTGTGTGTCCCTGCCTTTCCAATCAATAAAAAAATTGGGGGCCAGTGTTGTAGCATAGTAGGTTCAGTCACCTTCTGTAATGCCAGCATCCCATATGGGCACTGGTTTGTATCCAGGCTGTTCCACTTCTGATCAGGATTCTCCCGAATATCCTGGGGAAAGCAGTGGCAGATGGAACAAGTGCTTGGGGCCCTGCCACCCTCACGGGAGACCGGGAAGTCTCGACTCCTGACTCCTGACTCCCGGCTTTGGCCTGGTCCCATAGTGGTTGATGCAACCACCTGGGGAGCAAACCAGTTGGATGGAAGATCTCTCTATGTCACAGTCTCTGTATCTTGGGCTTTCAAATAATACCTAATCATAAAAAAATAAAAACATTGTTTGGCACACTGGTCTTCCCCTGTCCCAAAGGGCGTCCAACCTCAGGCCAGCAGGACTGCCGCTTTCCTGCATTCTGTCCTGTGAAGTTTGCTCTTTTTACTGGCGAGGACTTGAGCATGGGTTCCTTGCTCTCCCCTCAGCACCATGTCCAACAAACCAAACTGCTGGTTTTGACAGACACCTTTACCCACCCTGGTAGCACCACAAGCTCAGGGTGGGGAGGAAAGGGACACAGCTCCAGGCCAGCACACCACCTTCTCCCACTCTTCTTTCCTGGGCAGTCAGCAATTCTCCATCAATCAGTGCTGTCTGTTTTGTGGTTGATTGGTTTGGGGTTTTTTTGGTGGATTCCCAGAGGCCTTAAAAGTTGTTGGTTTTGTCTTGTTTCATAGCTGTCGGACACATTGCTGGGGAAAGCCAGACATGAGCCTCCTTCAGCACCGGACACAGCCTAGGATCCTGCTGGGCTCAGGACCTCCCCTCCCATCTCTAGTCCCACGAGGTGAGTCGGCCCTCTTCAGTGAAGCTCTCCACTCAAAACCAGGCCTCCCTCAGCTGGCAAGGGGAGGTGCCAAAGATTGTATGTATGCCTGTGGGGGTCCCAACACTGTCTGAGGCAGTAGTACCCAGCGTGGTGTGCACGTGAACTAGCAGATGGAACACCACCTTTCATCCCTAGGGTGTGCAAACTCTTACACTCACTGACCTGACACTTCACAAGGGAGCCAACCTTTTTGGAGCTTCTGCTCAGCTAAGCTCCCACGTTGGAGCACTATTTCAAGTCTCAGCTGCTCCACTTCCCATCCGGTCTTCTGCTTGTGTGCCTAGGAATACAGCAGATCCAGGCCCAAGTACTTTGGCCCTACCACCCATTTAGGAGAGTAGTAGGAGTTCCCTGCTCCAGGCTCCATCCTGGCCCCTACCTGACTGTTGGGGTCCTGTGGGAAGTGAACCAGACGAAGGAAGACCTCTCTGTCACCACCTCTTTTGCTCATTTCTGTTTCCAATGCATAAATCTTTGTGAAAAATTACACACCACATGGTAGTTTTCAGATCAATGTGGAACCTTTATTTATAAACACAGGCAATGAGTTGGATCTGGTTCCAGGGATTCAAACCCTTGCCATTTCACAAGGGAGGGAAGGCCAGGTTGGGTTGAGGAATACCCAACACTCTCCCCACGTACCCATGGTGCAGCATGAATGCTACAGAGAGCCCCGCATTGCCCCCCCCAGTCTCCTCTTCCACTGCTCTCCCCATTGTCCTGGATCCAGTGCCCCATTCCATGCCTGCCACCACCATCACCCCGTGTTCCCCTTCTCCCTCCCAATTCCACAAGAAGCCCATGCTCAGCCTCCCTCAGCCCACGCTCGGCCCACCCTCGCCCTCCCTCGGCCCACCCTCAGCCCACCCTCGCCCTCCCTCGGCCCACCCTCGCCCCTCCCTCGGCCCACCCTCGGCCCTCCTCGGTCACCCTCGCCCACCCTCGCCCTCCCTCGGCCCACCCTCGCCCCCTCGCCCTCCTCGCCATCCCTCGGCCCACCCCTCGCCCACCCTCGCCCTCCCTCGCCCTCCCTCGGCCCACCCTCGCCCTCCCTCCCACCCTCGCCCTCCCTCGGCCCACCCTCGCCCACCCTCGCCCACCCTCGCCCCTCGGCCACCCTCCCCTCGCCCTCGGCCCACCCTCGCCCACCCTCGCCCTCCCTCGGCCCACCCTCGCCCTCCCTCGCCCCCTCGCCCTCCCTGCACCCTCGCCCTCGCCCTCCTCGGCCCACCTCGCCCTCCCTCGGCCACCCTCGCCCCTCGCCCTCCCTCGCCCTCCCTCGCCCACCCTCGCCACCTCGCCCACCCTCGGCCCACCCTCGCCCTCCCTCGCCCACCTCGCCCCCTCGGCCCTCCCTCGCCTCCCTCGCCACCTCACCCTCGCCCTCCTCGGCCCACCCTCGCCCTCCCTCGCCCTCCCTCGGCCCACCCTCGCCCACCCTCGCCTCCCTCGCCCCCTCCCTCGGCCCACCCTCCCACCCTCGCCCTCCCTCGGCCCACCCTCACCCACCCTCGCCTCCCTCGCCCTCCCTCAGCCCACCCTGGCCCACCCCTGAACCACTCTGTTTGTCCCCATCCTCCATTATTCTGCCCGTGCCCATACCCCCATCCTGCCTTCTCCCTTCCCTCACCCATGTCCACCACTCCCTTGCTCCCCAGGCCCTCTCCCCACAGACCTGCTCTCCCTGCTCTGTCCCTGCCCTCGGCGCCTGTCCCTGTGCCACTGTGCTGGCAGCAAGGCCTAATAACTGCCACGGAGGATGACATCACAGAAGTCTGGCCTGTGCCAACATTCTGTGCAGGTGAGGTCATTGCCCTCAGTGGGACTGTGAGCCACATGTGGAGCACACTGGCTCTTGTGCACTGGCCACTCTCTCCACATTGGTCCACTTCCCAGCCCATTACGGGGTGGCAGGTGTAAACGGGCTCTTATAGGGCTCATGACCAATGGAACCTAGTTTTAAACTAACCCCAGAGCAGGGATGAGTAAGTGTACAGCATTCCTTCAAATCAATCACAACAGAGCTGCCCCTTCTCTGCTCGCAGGTCTTCCTCAGGCTGGGTAAGAGGGCAGTGCTGTGGGCTTTACCCTCAATTGACAGTCACCAGAAAGCGATGACAAATTGAACATACCACAGTGGGACAAGGACACTGGCAGATGAACCTTGCCCAAATCTTTTATGTTATCTAAGATCTTAGCTAAGGACAGAATGATGTTTCAGTTGCCAAGGTATTCAAAACTCTACTTCCCTATTTTCATACACATGAGTAGACCCATGATGCATTTAATTAGACCCATGATGCAGTGTGTGTAAACTGCTTGGGCAATCTTTGGGCCCAGCAGTGAGAGCACCAGGATGAGACCTGGGGTTTCCATCCAGGCTCCACTCTGGTTTCCAGCTTCATCCTGGGGCTCCAGCAACTTCAGACACCTAGGAGGAGCGTGCGCTCTCGCTCCCTCCTTCTTAAATAAATAAAGAAAAATTCTTAGAAAATGAAATCTTCAAATTATAGAATCTAGGCAGATTGAACATCAACGCTGGCCTCGGCTCCACACTGGCCCAGTGCCAAGGGAAGGGCCTAGAACAATTGGAGCAGTGGGCAGTGGAGCAAACTGCCCATGGACAGGCACCTACCCAAGAGTCACCGTGCCTGGCCACTAGAGTACCTCCAGCTGCCAGGCCACACCCCACCCACCCTCTTGGAACCATTTCTCCCTCCCCACCCCAAGGGGTCCCACCCAGGTCTCTGCCCCTCAGTGACTTTGGGGGAGGGGCTCATATACACGGACCCAGTGCCAAGAGGGACAGCAGGTTCTGCCACCCACACCCACCCGTTGAAACCTCCAGAGTCAGCAACTGGGACTGTGTTGTGTGGGAAGTTGCCTTCCAGGATCTGGGCTGCTGGGGTCCCTGGTGCATCTGTCAGCAAGGCCAGGCCCTCCTGGGGAGCTTCCACAACCACAGTGGGGGAAGGGGCACAGTTAGAGGGAGACAGAAGCCACAGAAGCTGACACTGTGCCCCAACCCCTGTAGCCTCTGTATCCCTGTCCCACCTGCCCTGGCCTGGCTGGCCCCTGCAAAACCTGGTTTCTCCCAGGAATGTTTGTTCCCGTTCTCTGCTGGGGGAGTTTTTTCATGGCGGGGCCTCATCCTCGACGAAGCTGTGGGACTCAGAGCCAGGCTCTGTGTGGCCCGACGATCCTGCTGACCCTGGCCTCCTGCAGACCATGGGCCGCCATACCCCTGGCCGCATTTCCAGCTTTTCAAGTGGGAAGAAACCACCCCGCGTCCCAGGACTTGCACTTCTGTGGGCCATCCTCAGCAAGGTCAGTGAAGTGTCTACAGCCTGCCTGGACCATTTCTATGAAGAACGCTGGTCGAAGCCTTGGCTGAGGGGGTCCAGGGGTGTGGAGTTGGGGGTGAGAACCCTGCAGGGAGAGAGGTGGTCACTGGTGTCCAGGAGCCAGCTAAGGTAGCCATGGGCCTCCCTAACCTGTCCTCGCCCACAGTGTTTCACGGTTGGTTTGGCATTTGTGGCCTCAGATCACGGGCTCCTTCGCTGATAGGTATGTACCCTGCAAGCATGTGGGCCCCACCCTTAGGAACCTGCTGGGCGCTAGAGGCTGGGAGCTGCCAGAGGACAGGCGATGGCCTCAGGAGCTGGTGGACACTGGGGGCAGCTGCTGAGCGTGGGTGCCCTGAAGTACGCTTAAAGGAAGAGGAGCCCAGGTCCCTCCTATTCCCTATGGAGTTTTGAATGCGGCTTCTGGAACACTGTCCCCTCTGGAGCTCCTGAGTTTGTTTTACATGCAGCCAGTTGTAGCCTGGCTCTGAGCTCTGCAGTCACACATATGCAGCGCACACACACTCAGTCCAGAAGTGAACTCTGAATGGGCTGTGCCCGGATGCATACTTCAGCCCACAGGCCCTTCCTGCACATGCTTCAACTGGCATGGGCTGGGGGGTGTGTGGGACAGACCCCCTCAGTGAGCCTGAGCAGCAGGCGGGTCGCTGGCCCTAGTGGAGGGGTGCTGAGGAGGGGGCAGTGGGCTCGGGGGTCCATGGTCTCCACTCAGAAATGCACCCTGAGAAGGGACCCAGCAAAGCGCAAAGGACACCAGCACCTGTCGTGGACACAGGTGACTGCAGATATCCAAAAGGGCCCAGGTTAAGGGGCTGCCTCCCCCCGCCAATCTCCTTGTGATGCTCACCTTGGAGAGGACGCAGGGCCATGCTGGTACCGGCACTGGAGAACCCAGGACCCTAAGTCTCCACCCACACCCCATGGCTGCTTTCATCCTGGTGAGTGTCGGAGACCCTGAAGGGCCAGGCCATGGTCCCAGGCAGAGGCCTGTCCTCAGTGCGCTGGCCCTGGGCCTCTTGTTCCCTCTCTCTGGATGTGTTTGTGTCTTGCACTGGAGGAGAAGCAGCCATGCAGGTCCTGAGCAAGAGTCAGAGCTGGCCTGGTCAGGGAGTCTTCCTCCTGGCCCAGACCCACCTGGGACCAGGAACGTTCTCAGTGCCAAGGGGTTCCACACATTCCTACAAAAACCAATGTGAAACCCAGTCCTCGCAGCTGCCCCTTAGGGCCCCAGGACTCCATGTCCTGAAGGCGGGGAGGGGCAGAGCACATTGCTGCCCCTGGACTCTGCTCAGAGCCCCAGCGTCAGAGTTATGCCCACCCTGGTGGCTCCTGGGTGCGGTTACTGCTTCTGTTTTCCCTGTGGACCACAGCAGGCAGGCCACCCCCTTCCTGGAGTAAGATCACCTGTGTGGACCGTGACGGTGATGTTAGTGTGTGTGTATGTGTGTGTTCTGTGTGCATGTAGGTTCACATGTGTATGTGTACTGTGCAAGTGTGTGGTGTGCACATAGTTAATGGCTTCATCCTGGCCCAGCTCTTGTTGCTGTAGCCATTTGGGGAATGAACCAGCAGGTGGAAGATCTCTCTCTCTCTCTCTCTGCAAATCTGCATCTTAAATAAAAAAAAATCTTAAAACCCTAAAACCCTACCATTTTCAGCACTGGGGACGCCTTCAGAGCTCTAGGAGCTCAGGCACTTGATGTTTGGTGGAATCAGGGACAGCGAGGTGGCAGAGCTGGGCCTACAGCCAACACTGGCATGGCCTTCGGGTGCCAGCTTGAGTCCCAGCTGTTCCCAGCTCCTGTCTTGGGTGCTTGTGAGCCGGGAGAGAGGCTGTGGAGTGGTGCAGGTACTTGGGATTCCTGGCTGCCCCAGGTCTGTCCACGTCTGGACCTCCCCCTCGCACCTCGTCAGCACCAGTAATGCTGTGTCCTTGGTCCCTGGCATCTCTAGGGCCTCTCAGGTGATTCTGGGTCCTTAACGTGGGGTCTGAAGCTGCTCTTACCGTTGGCTTCCACATGGCTGCTGTCTGTTGCTTTTGTGGCCACCATGGCTCAGCCATGGCCACATTCCCTGAAGAGTGGTTTAGGGGTGGGGCTTTTGCATCCTCTGACCCCTGCCTTCCCAGGTGTGTTCACGGGGCAGCCAGGACTAGAACAAGTGCCTATGATGATGCCACTCCACCCACCACAGCCAGCACTGATCCCTCACCTCACCTTCCCAACCTGTGTTCAGCTCAGTGGACAGGAGAGGGCAACAGTGTGGGCCTCTCTGATCAGGTGGCCACTGACAGGAGGAGGTGTCGAGCCAGGCCTGCTTTGTGTCTAGCTCTAGTTTTCAGGGTGGCAGCTCCCACTGGTGGGCACCTGACCAGCCACCTCCTAGTGGTCTCCAGGGATTGCCTGTTGGGGGATGTGGGAAGGGAGTTCTGGCCCCCATGGCGGCATCTGCCACCCACCCTGTCACTTGCAGCTCTGTGGGAGATGGGTTAGGGTGCCCCTCTTCTGAGCAGGACCCAGAAGGGAGCTGTAGAGACAGAGGTGCAGGCTGAGTGGTGGAGTTAGGCATGGCTGGCAGGTTTATAAATGAAGACCTGGGGTCCTCATGGACCTAGATTGAGACCAGGACCTCCCCCAGGCCCTGCCTTCCAGTGGGAGTCTGCAGCCCAGCCTGCACACACCATGCTACCCTCCCCTGTCCCCCACCTTTCTTCCCTCCCCTCTCCACCTGCCCCTTCCACAGGTGCTTCAGGTGCCTCAGGCGCACCGGCCCCAAAGGCCATTCTCTCAGGTTCCTCCTGCCCCCAGGGCGTCGTCTTCCTACAGTTTTCCATAGCAGCTGCACTAATTTACATATTTAACAGCAGTGTGTAGGTGTTCCCCTTTTCCCACTTCCACCTTATCATTGTGACTCTGTCCTTTGGAGCTTAACCATTTTGAAAGGGTTAGCTCATATCATTGTGGTTTGGATGGCATTTCCATGATGGCTTGTGATATGATATTGAGCATTTTTTTCATAGAATTGTTGGCCATTTGTATTTTTTTTTAATTTTTTTTGAGAGAGTGGACAGAGAGAGAGACAGAGAGAAAGGTCTTCCTTTGCCGTTGGTTCACCCTCAATGGCTGCTGTGGCCGGTGCACGGTGGTTGGCACACCGAGCTGATCCAATGCCAGGAGCCAAGTGCTTCTCCTGGTCTCCCATGGGGTGCAGGGCCCAAGGACATGGGCCGTCCTCCGAGACTGCACTCCCGGGCCAAAGCAGAGAGCTGGACTGGAAGAGGAGCAACCGCCACAGAATCTGGCACCCTGACCAGGACTAGAACTGGTGTCTGGTGCTGCAGGTGGAGGATTAGCCTAGTGAGCCGCGGCACCAGCGGCCATTTGTATTTCTCTGGAGAACTCTGTTCAGCTCCTTTGGCCATTTCATATCTGGATTCATTGTTTCATTTTATTTTTTTTAAGTTGCGGATGTATTCTGGACATTAATCCTTTTTCAGATAGGTAGCTCACAGATATTTTTGCTCATTCTGTTGGAGGACTCTTTATTGATGATTTCCTTTGCTGTCCATAAGCTGTTGACTTTCATATAATCCCATTTGATTAGTTTTGATTTGTTGCTTTGCCCTGAAGGTCTTTTCTAAGAGTCAATCTGTACTTAAGTGTCTTCTAGTACTTACTCTACATTTGTTTCCAAAAGCTTCATAGTCCCTGGTCTTACATTTAAGTCCTTGATCCATTTTGAGTTGATTTTCTTCTTTTCTGTGAGTAATGGATCTAATTTCAATCTCGTACATAAATGCAGTTTTGCCAACACCAGTTTTTGAGGAGATTTTCCTTACAGCAGTGAGTATCTGAGACCTTTTATCAAAAATCAGATGTCTCTACATATTGGTATTAATTTTGGGACTTGCATTGTTTTTTTTCCATTGGTCAATGTGTCACATTTTATGCCACTGCTGTGATGTTTTAACTAGTGTTGATTTGTAGTATGCTTTGAATCAGGTGTTGTGAGGCATCCAGGAACTTTTGTTTTGTTTTGTTTTTTGGTACGGAACCCCCGAGCTGTTCTGGATCTTCTGTGATTTGTATGAATTTTAGGCATTTTTTTTGGTTTTTCCACAAAGAATGTCATTGATATTTTGATAACAATTTAATTGAATTTTTATATTGCATTAGGTAAGGTCGACATTGTTTTTGACAGGCAGAGTGGACAGTGAGAGAGAGAGACAGAGAGAGAAAGGTCTTCCTTTTACCTTTGGTTCACCCCCCAATGGCCGCTGCGGCCGGCACGCTGTGACCGGTGCACCATGCTGATCCGAAGCCAGGAGCCAGGTGCTTCTTCTGGTCTCCATGCGGGTGCAGGGCCCAAGGACTTGGGCCATCCTCCACTGTACTCCTGGGCCACAGCAGAGAGCTGGACAGGAAGAGGAGCTACTGCCACAGAATCTGGCGCTCCGACCGGGACTAGAACCTGGTGTGCCGGCTCCGCAGGTGGAGGATTAGCCAATTGAGCTGTGGTGCCGGCCAAGGTAGACATTTTAATGATGCTCATTCTTCGAATCCATCAAAAAAAAATCATTTCATTATTTCTGTTCTTGGTGATTTCTTTTATCAAGATATGGTAATTTTGATTATAGAGCTTTAATACATCTTTAATGTATTAAACACTGCTGTTTCTACAGTATGTTTATTTGTAACCTGTAACTTCACTTAATTGTTTCACCAGTCCTAGCAGTGTTTTGGGTTACATTGTAGTACATTGTACATTGTAGTACATTGTAGTAATTCCCGATTTTTTTTTTATTTATTGGGTTTCTGTTATTACAGTTTGTTTTTTGTTTATGATTTTACTGATTGGGGTCTTATTCCTGTTTTTTTGTTTGTTTGTTTGTTTTGGAGATTTTCAGCAATTTTGTAAAAAAAATTTTTTAATCAGCTTTTCATTTCAGTGATCTTTTGTAAT